CAGGTTTCCCATTGACCAGACGCATGCTGACAATTTGGACACCCAGCACGTGGCGCTGGACCCTCAATCCGACACTTCCTTTGCCGTTGTGTTTCAGGACGGCTCGCTCTTCAAAAGCACAGCAGGATGGGACAAGCACTCCAAGGCTTGCTTCGACCGTTTTGTGGCTTTCGAAGACGACACCAGCCGAGTGGACGACGAGGCTCCCGCCGCCACAGAGGGGGGACCGGCAAAGAAAGCCCGTATCTCATAAAGAGGGAGGTTACGCTCGGTCGACTCGTCCCTGGGCACTCCATCAGGGGCCAAGTTTTGTCCGAGCATCCTCGAGCCTGTTCAACTCACATCTCCATGGTCACATGTTCAGGAAGCTCCAGGTTTGCAATGTTGGCCCATGATCATAGAATATGTAAGAACCAGTCCTCCTATTTGGAGCTCTTCCAATACCACACAGAGTCTGTTTATGTACAGGAACCACGTCGTCAAATATTAGCACATTACTCTCACATTACTTCGTCATCACCAGCGCTCAAAAAACACAAGTCGCCCCCTTTTCTCTGGCAATCAGAGCGACAACTTAGGGGGTGGCGAGGCGCGCCTTCTCCGCCTCATCGTCCTCAGCCATGAGCCTGCAGGCGTGCTGAAGGAGGTTGACCTCGCCCGGCGGGTTCTGGATGTAGCGAGCGTTGAAGCCCATGGTCTTCCTGACCGCGCGGAAGCTCTTGAGGTCGATGAACAGCGGCTCCTGGACGACGTTCCAAGCCAGGTTCTGCGAGCAAGGAGGAACGGTCAGGGAGCCGGTGTACTGGAAGACTTGGGACTTGTGGAGATGGTCGCGGAGCTCGGTGAAGTCGAGGGCGCCCGTGACGGTCTTGAGGCCGCGGCGGGGAATTTGCTCGAGGTTGACGAAGACGTTCTTGAAAAGAGCGCTCGCCTCCTCGTCCGTGCCGGGCTCGAGGACGAAGCCGACCACGGCGATGGAGTCGTCTGTGGGAGAAAGTCAGCTGCCGATCACGTTCTGGGCGAAAGGAGACACTCACCCTCGGCCTGGAAGACAAAGTGAACCTCGAGGGGGTAGTAGTGCGAATCGATCTGGTGCTCGCCGGGGGTGTGGAAGTGGAACTGGGCCAGGTTGAAGGTCTTTCCGTCGCGAACGAGGGTGCCGGTGGTGTTGACCTCGACAGTCTTGCCGAGGTTCTCAAACTCGGCGCCCTCGGGCCTGTTGGGGAGGTCGAAGCCCAGCTGGGCGCCGGCGATGGTGGTGATGTTGTTGGAGTGGATGTTGATGGGCGACTGGCTCGTGCCGGTGGAGCAGATCCTGTACGACTCGTTCAGGTGACCCCATTCCAGGGGGCCGCCGATGCCCGAAAAGGCAAGCTCGAGGGTCTCGCCGATGTCGTTCTGGCGGGGGTTCAGGGTCGTGCCGTGGTCGCAGAAGGCGGACACTAGGGAGGTGAGGGCCGAGAAGGCAAGGATGGACCTCATGATGGGTGCAACGAAGTATTAGTGTGAAGCTATTAATCAAGGGTTAGTAGGGCCGGGAGGGCGATGGGGGTGGAATATGTGCTGCTGCTGAACAGGTCTGCTGTTGAGCGGCGACCCTCTCGTACGTTTAAATAAGGCGGCCGGCCAGTCACGCCATGCGTCGCTCCTGGGTGAAGCAGCAGATCACCCCTATCGTCGGTTGCTGTGAAGGAGACCCCGCCATAACAACATCAAGCATGTCCGGAGATGGAATGGTGGTGGTCACAGCCTGAAGCGAGCGCATTCCGAAGGCGACCAGAGACCAAGTGATAGGTCAGTATTCCATCTGGCTGGACCAAACCTTGAAGATGGTCGGGACCTCAGCCCTGATCGCACATCTTGACCTTAATCTCATCATCCCGCCTTCTGGCAGGGCTTCAACCGTAAAGCAGATAGGGTTGCGCGCCTACCGGCCTGAGCCTATTTTCAACGGGTTCGCCCTATCGTCGGCCAACTGATTGGATCGATCATTGGTGGTGTGAGAAATAGGGGCTGCGACAGGGCGCTTGTCTGTCTACCTACTTGTGGTCATGGCAGCATTTCTCGACCTAGGTACGGCGTCATTTGTGACAGACCCCTTTCTGGCCAGCGACCGGGCCAGACGCATGCCAAGCTGTCAGAAACCCATACCCCGGATATCCAAGGGTGAGTCTTCCACTTTGTCAACGTGCCAGCAGGGACAAGGTGCTTGAAAATGTAGGGCACAGCGTGCTTGGCATCTCCTGATGTCTCAGGCCCACGGTGCGCGCCGGCCAGCCGGAGACAAATAAGCTTCACGGGTGGAATGGAGGCTAGTCTGGACACCAGGCTTCAGCTTTGCCGTCAAGCGCGGTTCTCGATGCGTCCGTCTAGGAGCGGCTGAGGCGCCGCTCCCGGAAGCCAACGTGGAATACGTCAATTCAGGCTCACCAAGGCAGCCCGGGCCACGCGAAGCTGCAAACCTATCCCCAAAGGTGCTGGAGCTGGTGCCGGCTGATCTATCTGATAGTGTCAAGGTTTGTCCGCTGGGTGAAGATGAGAGGTCGGCGGGATAGGCGATGATGATGGAGGGTTGAGTTGTTTTGTTTGATAAGACGGACAAGACAAGATTTGAACAGTAGATGCGCGAGGCTGCGAAAAGGGGCGCATTGGTCGGAGACACCGTCCGATCCAGTGGTAAGCTTAACTTGCCCCGGTTGATTGCCTTGACCCTGCACCGGGATCAACGACAATCGCCATCGGGGTCGCCAGTGGATGATGTTGCTTTGGAGTGAGATATATTGACGGGGCTCTCGGTCCTGTTCGGGGGCTGAAGGCGGATGAACTTCCATGATGTCACTTGGCGGTGTTCGATCGTGTTTTGCAGGCTGCCAAAAGTAAATAAAGCTGCCAAGCGGCTGAATTGCACTTCAATAGTTGAGAGCATCTCATAGCGAGCCTGCCGCATCGGCTTCGCCGTTCGAACTTTCATCGACGCTCCTTTTGTCCCCAGAGGGATGCAAGGGTGGTCACGGCCAGTATGTGACGAGTCAACAACTACGATATTGGGTAAATCTATGAGATTGTAAGGACCGTGAGAACTTCAAAGGACACGCAAAGTCCCAACCGACCGATTACGCGATGAAAGGACTACTATTACCCCATACCCTCCCATTACTAAAGTGCCCGACTCCTCCATCTCTTCAGGTCGATCGTGGTAATACCGTTCTAAACTTGCTCAGTCAGTACCACTCGATATCCTTCAAGTTAGGAAGAGATAAAATACCTTTCTACGCCTTCTTGTAGGTGCCGTAGGTGCCGTAGCTGCCAGCAGGAGGGTACTCGCCGTAGTCGGCGTAGCTACCGGCGGGAGGGTAGCTTCCATAGGTGCCGTAGCCGCCGGCGGGAGGAGGGTAGCTGCCGTAGTTGCCGTAGCCCTGGCCATCCGCGTCGGCCACAGGGGCAGGGGCGGCCTCGGCGTCGGGGTTGGCGACGGGAGCGGCCTCAGGGTTGGCAACGGGAGCGGCCATGGCACCGGTGAAGGCGAGGAAGAGGGCTGTGATGGTGAACTTCATTTTGGCGATGTGATTGATATTCTGAATGATGTTAGCTGGTCCATCCAAGTGACGGGGGGGGTGATGGGGTTTGCTCACAAGGTAAGTTGAACGAAAGTGCTTGAATTGGTCTGGATGTGTGATGCTGAGTGAAGACTTGAATGTTGCTGATGAGAAGAGAAAGCTGAATGAAGAAGGTCAAAAGACGAGTTTTATACATCCGATTGCTCTCAGAAAGTCAACGTATCATCAAGACATCTCAGGATCTTAGGCCATCATTCTGGTTGCTGCGCTACCACAGCCTCACGTCGAGAAACCACAGTAACAGCGGAAATGGCTATGCTCCTTTGTCAATTCGACGGATTCAGCGATCTGAAGCTGAAAGCTGCCGGCGTCATCCCCCTTCCAGCCTTGCCAGAACGATCGCGTCTAGCTAGCACCACGCTTACACGTGGGCGACATGACTGTCTCACCACCCCCGCGCGTCATCCCCCAGACCAAATTCCGCACAAGGCATAGGGCTGTTTGTTCTAGGAGTCTGGGCACCGCTTGGGGTAGGGCTGTCGGCGACAGCGAGCGCGCCAAGACCAAAATACCATGTGTCCTGGAATAGTACTGGTGCTTCTTGCACGAGGTTGAAGGAAATCGGCCCGAGTGAGTCTCAGATCGCAATTGCGCCTCAGGAATGACCTCTCTGATGAGATTAGATATCCTTCTTAGAGTGTAGTAGGTGCTGAATGTCTCCGAATCCGCCTTGTCGAGCTGGGAATTGACTTCACCACATTTCAGCTCGACGTCTGCCAGGCAACACCTCGATTTGGAAGTTCCGCAGGAAGCATTGCAACGGTGCAAATCTAACGCAAATTCATCGTCTCTTCGTCATCGTCTCCGGTGCTACTATGGTTGTGTTCTGTTTGATTGGTGACCAGTAGCAGGCAGCGACCCATCACGCCTGGGTGCACCATGAGGATCGATCCCTAGAGCTGCTGCTGCAGAAGCTAAGGATTCTTTTCTTGGTTTCATCGTCAGGTCATGAAGGCAATAGAAAGGCACTATACTCGGCACAGATTCCTTGCCAGGGATTAGTCGATGAATACCTGTCGCCTGAAAGATGAACGAACAGGAGATGCCACTGCCACATCGGCCTCGCGCGATTGCTGGCGCTGGTTGGTCCAACCAATCTACCGACACTAACACTACCACCGACAAGCAGTCAGCCTGGCATGGTACAAGAGTATATCAGGGGTGACCAGTTCTATGACCAGCAGCAGATTGCCCACAAAACGGGGCCTCATTTGAATTCGCATAGGACTCGGCACATCTGCTCGAGTCCCGAGATTAACCAAGAATAAGCCTGCCTAGTCTCTGCAAAGATGCGAATGAAAGTATCAGCTAGGTCTGAAGCCAGGAACTGTCAACGACTTCAGTGCCCCGACACACCTTGTGTCCAGGAGCAAAAAAACGAATTCTCCCCGACCGGAGTCGAGCCGGTGACCTTCAGGTGAAATGGAACAATTACAGCCCGACGTGATAGCCAACTACACCACAGGGAGGATTGGTGGAGACATCGGGTGTCTCCACCAATTTTTGAGGCGTGCTGTCATAATTGGAAGCTCGGCGTCATCTATCACTTTCCCCTGAAAGTCCCTTGGTGGTGAACAGGTAAACAGGATTCTGGCTTCGAGCCCCTAGACGGTTCGGTCCAGGTTCTTCCCGACTCTCCGAGAAACGATCATATATCTCCGTCACGGCGTCCGGCTAAATATTCACACGGACCAGCACATATGCCGACTCCGTGAGCCGTTTGAAGTTTTCTAGCCAAAGGGGCCAGAGGTCTTGGCAAGCTACCGGATCGTGGCGAGCGGCTCCCCGCGGACGTGGCGGGAACATGACTCTTGTAGTCGGATCGATCTCGGTCATCCCACGTGCTTCAACGTCCTTGTGGAGGATTAAAGCTCCGAGAGTTTGACTGCATGTGATCAAACCGGCAAGGCCATTAATAGGTTACATCGAAGTCGTGATGCAACTTAGACTTATCTCATCACCTGTCACCTCCAAAGTCCTCTATAATCGAAAATAACGTGCAGCAAATAATGCTGAGCAGAATATCGCCTCCTGCATGTTCGGTGAAGGAGGGCGTGGAAGTAAACTAGCAAGTCCGTAACTATGTCTTCACCCCCGTGCCGCCTTGACCGGCAACACTGTAATCATCATACTCTCGGCACGGATCTTCAGGATCATGAACCCAGTCAAGTTGGCCAAGAAAGCCTCTCGGTCTGTTGCAAGTGCGAGATTGTCTGAACCCCCAGCTTCCGACGTAACATGTCACATGTGAAGGCCAGTATGCAGCTCGAGAGTGCCATGATAGGCGGAAGGATTCCGGCACCATGATATGCACTCACGCCCCGTAACGCTACTGCTGCTGGCGTTTCTGTCACATTTATCCCGCTGCAAGCTTCATCTCGTCACCAAAGGGCGTCGAGCCCCCTGAACCGGATCCGTCACTCGGTCGAGATCACCGACGTCTAGACCATCCTCCCATCTCGATACCCGATCCCCTTACCGAAGGTTTCTAAGGAAAGCTGCGGGCCGTTGCTTGTCATCCGCTGATGAACGCCAAGCGTAGCAGTGGGCAGAAGCTAGCAATATTCTCAGGGGAAGCGATTGCCACGCACCGGAAGTAGATGAGGCCCGTCCCCACGAGGTCGGTGACCAGGAGGCGCCTGATGGCGCAGCCACCACGTCGTTCTCCAGAATACATCCCCCATGCCGTGTTTCTGACATGAGCGCCACCTCCATCTCGCGTGGAGCTCGCGGCTCGTCTTCCCGACCCGTGAAAACGGCGTGAACCCCCTTTCTTTTACCACATCCCCCCTGACAGAACAGGGCCGAGGTCACGCATGGGCAGAGCGTCTGCCTCCTTCGACCTGTCAGCTCTCCGCACGCATCGAGATTCAGGGCCAGCGGTGTCTCGGGGGCGAGTAGATGTTCTGCTTCTGCATGGCCCAGGCCGCTGGAGACCCGCGCCCCCGCAGACGCCTCCCAGATGGTTCCCCGGGTGAGATGAACGGTGTGTGGCGAGGAATCATGTCGAGACGCTGCCAAGTATTCTCCGGCGTTGACCATGACGCGGCCGCTTTTGGGTGAGGCCGGAGGCGTGGCGATGCTTCTCGCCACGTGCCGCCGGCGGCGGCGCTGGGCCGTGTCCGCCTACTCCGGGTGGGTGAGCCGTTCGGCGCCGGAAGGGAGGGAGGGTTTCTTACGGTCAACGGGGTCTCAGGGGTGGACCAGCCCTGAGAATTCCGGCTTGAGCTCCGCGGCGAACGAAGGGGTTTGGATGGACCTGGAGGGCTGTGTTGGCACGACGAGCTCCCTTCCCGCTTTGGCAAGGCGAAAGAGACATACGGGCACAAACGCACCTTGGCCGACGGGCCCCTATTCCTAGACACCCCTAGCCCCAAGCGACCCAGTGGTCTGTCTCGACGGGTAATCTAGAAAGCGCGCGGCGCGAAGTGGCTGGCCCGCAAGGAAGCAAGCCCCCTGAGAAGGCGGGTGAAAAGGGGGGTTCAAGGGACGTGGGATGGTGCCAAAAAGGGGGGCCAAACGACCGACCATGTCGCAGATGCCAGAATGACGGGATGCTGGTTGGCTACAGGACAAGCCGCCGCGCGCAAGGGTTTCTGGCATTTCGTCCCTGCGGTATTTTCTCTCATAGGCCGTCTTCGCGGCGCGCGTCGTTCATCTCGGGGGTTCTTGCTACGTTGCAGGATGAGTGGTACCCGAGCATCTCTTGATGGATGGATGGATGGATGGATGCATAGTCAGGGCCGAAGAACACGTCCGTGGGTCTCGAGGCCAAGTCGGAGAAACGCGGTTGTGGTTCGATGGAGGCGAGACAAGTACGTTCCTGCTGATTATTTACTCGCGGCATCATCGCAAATCCAAGGGACTGGTCAGGCTAGGTTTGTGTTGAATGAATCAGTGACTCGGACGCCCGGTTTTTGACTCGGGACACATGCTCACTGGTCTCGGAGCTGACTCCTTCAGCTTGACGAGCGAGCCTGGGTGCCGAGCGAGGCGCCTCTAAAGGTTCCGCTAGCAGCATATCTGGGTTGGCGGCACGACCCATCTTGGCCAAGACAGCGAGGATGCCGACCGGCGGCTCTTCAGACGAGTCCGAAATTTGACAAAGGGAGGAGGCAGCGAGATGACGAGAAGCGAGGGGATGGAAAGGAGGGGGAGGGACCGCTTGTCGCGCGTCTAGGCCCGAGACCCTTCGGGGACCTTGCGTCAGGACGCCTTTCTGGCAGGGCTTCCGAGGGAATGATCCGCGAGGAGGGCGAAGTTCAGACGGCGCAGGCAGCACCAGAGCAGAAGAAGGGGTGCGGAAAGGCGGCCGCGGCGCGCGCCCACCTCCCACTCAGGACGAGCGAAGCGTCTGCTTGGTAAACTTTAATCCTGCCCAGGACGGGTCCAGCTCGCAAGACCCCTCTGACCCGAGAAAAGCTGGGCTGGCAAGCCTGCAAGGTCCCTACATTCCCCTCCCCTGGGCTGGCCCTGACGGGGCGTCGGACGTTGGAGCTACTGACAGCCTAGCGATATGGACGGGCCACGATGCTGGGCGGACACCCCCCATCCGGCGTAGCCAGTGCCATGTTGATGATGCTATCCCAGGGCAGTAATTCTCGCGGGAGGCGGGTCTGCTCCAGAGACAGAGCAGAGATGAACGAGTTTCTGCGAGATCGATGGTCGCGAGAGGAGCCGTCGGCGAGAGCATCCGAACGCGTTGTTGTTTTGGTCGCGGAGGGCCGGAAGCTACAGTTACGCTACCAGGAAGCGAGGGGGGGAAGCAGAAGCAGGGCCCCTGGAACTCCCGCCGCTACTATCGATGGTGTCGCGCGGGACGCGGGCGACTGAAAGGTGTCACCCGCTGGAACCGCAGCAGACTAAGGCTAAGGGGACAAGGTATAGTAGCAGCAGGCCGTCCTCGCCTTGCATGCAGTGCAGCAATCGATGGAGTCGCACTGCCGGGAGAGTGCCGAGCTGACTCGGCCGGATGGCCGGCTGCGACATCAGGATGCCGTGTCCTCGTGGACCCCGAGGGCAGTTCCTTGGACAAGGACGTGCGCTGTGAGGCAACACTGCAACTTTGCGCACTGGCAGCGTCGCAAGAAGCGCCGTGGGCGTTCACGTTCGGCAGATGCAGATTCGAGCGCGTGGCCCCGGGTGATGCTCCGAGCGCACTGATGCCCACGCGCCATGTCAAGTCTCACATATAGACAGGACGACGATGCAACGATGGCGGCGGTCCGATGCTCGCGGACATGGGCGGCGTACGGGCACGGGTGCCGAGCCGAAGAGGGGGGAATATTCCAGGCTTCCCTTTGTTTGTGTCCCGAACAGGCTTGGGGCGGAGAGAGAGCGAGAGAGAGATCAGGAGAGACATGAGACCCAGGAGATGTGCTAGCACTGCTAGGCTTTAGCATTGAGGTTCAGGGTATTTCTGGACTTCGGCCAACATAGAGTTTGCCGGGTCAAGCGCTCGGCGCCGCCCGTGGTCGGTGCAGCGGCGGGCGAACATGGAGGGACCCGGGAAGAGGGCCCTCGTCCGCAGGTCCGCCCGCAGGCAGCGACCCGACTGGGCCCGCGTCTCGCGCCGAGCCCTTGGGGCGGCGGAGGGGATGCCGTGTTTGTGGGAAGACGGGCGAGTCGGGGCGCCATCGACCGCGGCGGTGATGGCCGGCCGGCCGCCGGGTGTGTCGATCGCGGCGATAATTTTCTTTCGTTGCGTCACGGTGTTTCTGTCTCTCAGCTTCGCCTCGCCCGTTGGGGCTGGGCTATCCCCGAAAATCACAATGGAAGAGCCGACGATGACAAGAGAAAGTGTGCGGATGACGGAGATGGCGATGGGCTCGCGCGGGCCTAAGCAGCGGCAAGTCGAGACGACGCATGTCGCTAGCACCGAGATGGAAGGGCGGTCGTTCGGCCGGTCCGGAAGGGCAACGCGGCTCTTCTTTGCTTGGTTCTCCTCCTTTTTTTCCCAGTGCCGGTACTCGTAGTTACGTAGCGGGTTTGGCTTGGCCAAGGTTTTGGCCATGACGTCTGAATTTATGAACCCCGCGAGAGACTGGGGACAGCGTACAGGGGGGGAGGGGACGAAGGAAAAATCCCACGGCAGCATGTCGGGGGGGCTACCCGGCACATGTGTGCAATGGCGCAGTTGGGAAACTCCGGGGGTGCCTTTTTTCTCGCTCTTGGCTCTCGATGTGGGTTTTCCAGAGCCAGATCATGACGGGGCGTCTCCGGTGCCTTGGCGGTCAGGGCCCGGCGGGATGTTTGCATGTTCCATGGGGCATTGGACATTAGCCATGACGGGCTGCCATTCATCTTCGTAGGTGCAGAGAGAGTGTGCCTCCCTGCATGGCTCCCGGCTCGGCTCTTCAACGGCGGCGGCGTCGACCCCCGGAGACCCCCCTGAATCGGGGATGGCATCGGCAGGTAGCCCCCGAGAGTTCCCCCGTCTCGCAGTTCCGAGCTACACCGAAGGACGAGC